ATACATATACGTGCTTTGGTGAGGGACATTAATGCCATGCACCCATACATTGCTGAGTGATTGTATGTGTGATGTAGTGGCCATTTGAGACTGACAACTTGAGTATATTGAGAGTGAGAGCACCTGGGGATACCACCGTGAAATCATTCCTTTGACATGCATACTTGACATGTAGGAATATAGATGCATTTTCTTCATGTTAAACGATAATATGACATCTGATAATTTAGCATGTATGCTTGACATGTAGGCATAGAGATATATATTCCTCATGCTAGACGATATATGATAATTGGTGACTTGGCATGTATATTGACATGTAGGCATGGAGATGTACTTTCCTCATGTTAATTGGTAAACAAAAATTCTTGTTCGGTGTTATGAATTGGGAATACAATTCTTTTGATAAGCATGCCTACTTTCCAGTAAATGTGAACGAGATGAGCATATATCTCTTCAGTTATTTACCTTTACTATTCTCATTATATTATTATGAGTTGTTATTGGCTATTGTGTTGGACACTGACCTTCTTTCAAGCTCGTCACTGCTTTCAACCTAAGGTTAGGTTTGTTACTTATTGAGTACATAGGATTAATTGTACTCATACTACACTTCTGCACCTTGTATGTAGATCTTGAAGTTGATGTTGATGTGTATGGAGGGAGTTGGCATTGAAGATGTACCTGCGTTCCGATTATAGCTGTCACTTATCCTTGGTAGCTTTAGATTTGCAAATCAGTTTATGTGTATTTCGAGCAGATGATGTATTTTCGTACTACCTTTGTAAATTCTAAGTCTTAAAAGCTCATGACTTGTACTACCAATCATTGAGATTGTATGAGATTGTATAGAAATTCAGTTATTTTTCTCATTTATTTTTGTTATTCTCATTTGAGTTGTGTTGACTATCACTTGGCTACCTAGCATGTTGGGTTAGGTGACATCACGACTAAATGGATTTTAAATCGTGACAAATGACTTCCTTAACAATCTTATCTTTTCCATATGTAATCATTAAAATCAAAAAATGCAAGAGATGTTACTCCTTATTCAACTGTCCAATTCGTCATAAATATTTTAAAGAATTTTTTCTGGTGTTCGATTGGTCAGCGAAAGATATGTTGCGTAAAGCATTTATATCAAAGATTATTAATAATATCAACAAATCGGAGAGTGTTTGTTGTAATATTTGAGTAAAAAAGATAAATAATGTCGTTTAAGCAAAAATTGAAAAATGACGTTAAAAGTTTAGATAGCGGTAAGGAAATGATTTCCCGACAAGCGAACGAGTTAGTTTCTTCTTACGATATAAAATGGTTTGCTTGGGATATATTTTATGGTAATTAACAAACATCATAAAATAACTTTGTATGAAAATGGCAAAACACTCTATAAAAATTGATGCAAGTAAATCATATAGAGAAAGTGGTAAGATGTGTGTTACGGTCGTTATATTTCCGTCCTCCACACTTCACACCTCTATTGAAGCAATCAACTTGCCTTTCAGACCCATATTTTCTTTTGCGGTAAAACAAAATGTTGTGAAAAGAAAGTGTACGAGAAAATGTTCATAAGTTATAGTCCTTAGATAGATTATACAAGATGCAATAGAAGTAGTAGCTTCAAATTGTAAATTCTCTTTGTTCCGAATTGGTTGTTTCTTTGTGACGATTTTCACTTCTATTTCCATGTAGCAATGATTCGCTGTTCTTTCATTGAAGAATTTGTTCTTCTCCGTAGCTATACTAACGGAATCATATTTTCCTCTTGATCCTCGGTTAATGCATATCCATAAGATGTAAAGATGATATATTTGACGAATCATTGAAAAAGTGAACTAATTCGTGTATTGGAGACTTACGGATTTCTCCTTCCGGGATCTGATCGTATGTTGTAACCACAGCTCGAATTACAGGTCGTTGGAATCCTCACGTGACGGACGGACCCCCTGTTTCCACAGCTTAGAGAACTAACCCTAGCCGTCTCTAGTCTAATGAAAAACCTTCCTTTTCAACACCTGAAGTGGTGCTTATATAGGCTAGTAGGGTTTTAGGAGGAGGACTAGCTAATGGGTTAACAGGCTAATTAGAACCCTTTATGGGCGAAGCCACCTTTTGCTAAGGATGGTCAATTGACCACCCTTTGTTGAGATATTACGAAAAATTACACGGCATATATAAGTAAAATATTAGATTTTAGATGTTTATAACATATATTGAACACCCTTTGTTGGAAAATATTTTTTACTTTTTTTAAGTCTTAACGCCCTGAAAAAAAAATTCTGATTTCGCCACTGGTACTATTATGGGTGGAACCGACCCGATAACAATTTTCCAACACAAAGAGATTTTGTACTCAACAGATTGATATAATCAGGATAAAAATGCTGGAATATTATTCAGATGATTAAACTGGTCAATCTTTAATTTCTGTGACTTATTCAGCAATATTGTGGTTGAGGATTGATTACTATATTGTCTATGCTGAACTTATGGTTTTTGAATATATGGTCCTCATAGGATGTTGCATTTATCGAACCCCATTCTGAGGTCCCAAAAATGAAACTTACATTCATGGAATTCTAAATATTCTTAGAAAGGACCTGGAGGTTCGCTGTTGAATGCTCTTCCCGAGGGAAATATAATTCTCGCTTTTTCCTTCTACTTTTCCTTCTTGAAAATACCTATGTTAATGATTCTATTTCTATAAGGCCTGACTTCTGGTCTTAGTTGTATATTTTGATCGTAGAGTTACATTAAATGTATGTGAAAACAGCCTTTTGAATGGAAATCTAGAAGAAATATCTACGTAAAATAACCTGAAGGTTTTGAGGAGAAAGGAAAAGAGCAATTAGTATGTACATTAAAGAATTCTAATTTGGACTTAAACAAACTTCCTTTCAGTGGTATGTTAAGTTTCACGATACTGTGACGTTCTTCAGATATAAAGATAGTAAATTTGATGAATGTATATATCTGAAAGTCTCTGAGAGCAAATATAAATTCATAATTTTATACGTGGATGACATACTACTTACATGTAAGGATCATGGTCTATTACATGAAACTAAAAAAATTTCTTTCTGATAATTGTGGAATGAAGACATAAGTGAAGCCTCTTATGTGTTTGATTGAAATTCATCGTGGAAAATCTTATTTCAAAAGGCCTATATAGATAAAGTTCTTATAAATTTTCTAATGCAAAATTGTTTACTTACACAAAGTGAAAGGAGATAAATAAAATTTCAGCCAAAGCTCCAAGATAAAATTAAGCGTAACCAAATGAAAAATATCTCATATACATCTGTAATTGGGAGTTTAACGTATGCTCAAACTTGCGCAACATTCTGATCTTAGTTTTCTGGTTGGATGTTCGAAAGATATAAGGGAATCCTGATATGGATCACTAGAAAATGGCAAAGTAGGTGATGTGTTATCTTCAAGGTACAAAACATTATATGTTCACCTATCACCATTGTGATTCTCTTGAGGTAATGGGTTATCGTGATTTGGATTTTATGGCTTGTGTTCAGAGGCGAATTCAGGATTTGAAGGTGACAGAGGCATATGAGCGGACTGCTCAACTAGTGTACCGCCAAGCTTTTGATCTTAAGGGTTCCAAACAAATTATATGACCGTTTTCAACATATATACATACATATATATATATATATATATATATATATATATATATATGTTTATAACTTTTTCAACAGTTAATGGAAGCTGAATTGTGGCATGTTATGAAGGTACGTCACAAGCATTTTGGATCAAGAATTTTATATCTTGGCTTAGAAGTTTAGATTTTATTTTAAGGCTTATGACGACTTTTGCAGCTTGTCTTCTTTTAAAGAACAACAAGTGCTCAAGCAAGCCAAAGCACACGAAATTGAAATATCTTGTTGTTTGTAAAAAAGTTAGCAAGTGTATCGGACATCTTGTATTCACTTTAGTGTTCCAAAGTGCAAGTTATTTTCCTATCTCTTTAAAATATTAAAGAGATATATATATTCTTGTGCTTTGATAGTAAAGTTGGACCTTTATTATGAACATCAAAAAGTTTGTTCAATTGGACATAAAAAGTTCATTTGAGCATGATAGTTAAAGTGGTTCATATCCTTCTGTTGTTTTGGAGCAATAATCATATTGTGATGCATAGGATTTATATCTTTCATGATATAACATTGCAATGAGCCAATGATCCATATTAGTGATGAATTTAGAAAAATATAGCGATCAGTAAAGTTAAAGTTGTAGCCATTATATTTTTGTGAAATCCATAATAATTTTCATTGATCATTTGATTAAGTGGGAGAATGTAAGATGTTTTGGGGCTGTATAACAACGTTAAAAAACCAAAATTAAATATACCAAGAGGCATTCATGATCTTCACTATTCACCTCACTTACTACCATGATCTACACATATATTAGCCCACTATATGGGACAACACACTTGTCACTACAAATAGGATGATTTTTAGTCTCTCTCTTCATCACTCAAGCATAGAGGAAGGAGCTTGAGGGAAGATCGAGGTGCTAACTTTTATTTGTTTCTACACTTCATGGTCATTATTGAGAAGTAGAGGAGTAGAGTTAGTTATAATGAGAGTGGTATTTTAGACAATGTATACATGCACATGTGAGAGACACATGAGTGTTAGTTAAGCTGTTTAAATACTGTTACTCACTGTAACAGTGCATTATAAAAGAAAAATGAAAAATCATTTTCTGCTTCTTCCTCTCTACTCTCTGTATCTTCTAGATCCTTCAAGCTAGGGTTTCAATTGTTCATGCAATCTAGATTCTATCGTGGTATCAAAGGGCGTTTTTTGGAATTGTGACGAAAATATGTAAGATCTGAACATCGGACATTGTTAGAAGCTCGAATTCAATAAGCCATGGGAGAAACGGCTAGTCTTCAAATTGATCAGAATCATCCTCTGTTTTTAGCATCTACAGATATGCCTGGAGTTGCAATGCATGATATAAAGCAAATCGGACTTGAAAATTATGGTTTGTGGAGTATATCGATACGCATGGTACTTCTAGTGAAGAACAAGCTAGGGTTCATAGAAGGAACCAGCATAAAAAGCTCTTACAAAGGAGAATAGGCAAATCGGTGGAAAAGATGTAACGCGGTTGTTCTCTCATGGATAAGACGCACAGTATCTGCAGAATTACAGCCGAGCATCATTTATGCATCAAATGCAAAAACATTGTGGAGTGAATTCAAGGAGAGGTTTGATAAAACTAATCTCACTCGTTTTTACCTTCTATGGATACAAATTGGATCATTAAAGCAATGTATTGATTCTGTAACATCACAAAAATGAACGACCTTTGGGATGAAATTGACTTGTTAGTTCCAACACCTAGTTGTGATTGTGAAGAGACTAGGCCTTTTATTGAGCAATTTAAAAATCTACGTTTGTTGCAGTTCCTTATTGGTCTTAATGAAAGTTATAGTCAAGTAAGAAGTTAGATATTGCTTAAGACGCCGGTACTGACTGTAAACAGGCTTACGCTTTGGTTATTCAAGAGGAAAGCCAACGTGAGCTAAGTGTGCTTGAAGTAAATAGAGAGCCCTTAACTATGATGGCAGGACATAATCAAGGATATAAAGCTAAGAAGGTTGGGATAATTTATGTGCATTGTGGATACAAAGGACATCTTAAAGAAAATTGTTACAAAATCATAGAGTATCCCCCTGACATTAAAAGCAAGAAGAAAAGTAGGGGCAAGGAAACATACTTATTCCAACATGATATCAGAAGAGACCACAAGTTCTTCTCAGAACCACCCAAAGGGACATTTTTCCACTGAAAGTTAGTACAAAAAGCTATCGGATCTTCTGAACAAAACACATGCAGATGATGGTCATACGCTTATGACAGGTATAACTACATTGCTGTCTAATGCATCCTTTTGTGAGTGGATAATAAATACAGGGGCATCTCATCATATTACATGTCATAAAGAGGTTTTGTCTAATTTAAAGAACATTAAGCAACAGAGGAATCATAAAGTGCAGGTGCCAACAGGTAGCAGGTGCTCTGTGACACACAAAGGAAATGCTTCTATTCTAGGAAGCTATGAACTAAAGGATGTGTTATATGTTCCAGATTTTAAGTTTAATTTGTTGTTAATCTCTAAGTTGACCAAGGAGTTGAGATGGTATGTCCTATTCTTCCCTGACTTTTGTGTATTGCAGGGTCTTTACAATGGGAAGGTGATGGGGATTGGTAAGGAGGACAGTGGACTATATGTGCTCAAGTGGAGAGACAGACCTGCAACAACAATGGTTACCAAGGACACTGATGAATCCAACCTTTGGCATATGAGATTAGGCCATCCATCAACAATAACAATGAAACACATTTATGTCTTGAAGAATAAAGTAGTAGACAACATGCAACATAATTGTGAAGTGTGCCCTTTAGCTAAGCAAAGTAGATTGAAGTTCCCTCTTAGTAGTAGTAAAACTGACTGTATTTTTCAGCTTATCCATCTTGATGTTTGGAGTCTTCATAAGTTGCCTACACATAATAGAAAATATTATTTTCTTACAATTGTGGATGACTTTAGTAGATATACCCGGTTATGCTTATTGCAGTCAAAATCTGAAGTTGTAACAGTGTTAAAAGATTTTCTTATAATGATAAAGACTCAATTTAGTATGAATGTGAAAGTATTGAGGTCTGTCAATGGGAAAGAATTCTTTAACTCTAGTTGCAATGAATTGTTAGCTTCTTTAGGTATTGTGCATCAAAGTAGTTGTCCTTACACACCCCAATAAAATGGGATGGTGGAAAGGAAACATAAGCACATACTTGAAGTAGACAGAGCATTGAACTTTCAGAGTTGTTTACCTAGAAGGTTCTGGGGAGATTGCATTAAAACAGTTGTCTACCCTGATCAACAAATGGCCTACATCTCTATTACAAGTAAAGTCCCCTATGAGGTGTTGTATAACAAACCACCTACTATTGATCACTTGAAGGTGTTTGGATGTTTATGCTTTGCTAACAATTTCCAAAAGGATACAAGTTTGCTAAAATGGCAAGAAAATCAGTCTTCATAGGCTACTCAGAGGTTCAGAAAGGGTATAGGTTGTTTGATTTAGACACTAAGACTATATTTGTGAGCAGAGATGTCATTTTTAGAGAACGCATCTTCCCTTTCAGAGAGACTACAACTACTTTAGAAGACAACTTTCCTACACAAGTGTCTGTGCCTATACAACCTGACTCCTCCATATCACCTGTATCTAGTACAGTCTCACATGAATCCTACACATTTGCTATAGATGCTCAAATTCAACCTACCGACATCAATCCAATCCTAGGAGATATCAGTACACCTGCAACAAAATGAGTGGAGATTGAGCATGCAGTGCAAGTTGCAGAAACAGTAGAGGTTGATCATGTAATTAATGCAAGATACCTCAGCTGAATTATTTCCAGACATTGCAAATAGTGACAACAAAATCCATTGCACCACCACAAAACAAATCATAAGTAGAAAAAAAAGTGAATCACACAATAATGTATGTACTTTCCTCGCTCTCTTACTTTTTCCAAGTGCGGGTACATTCTCGAATATTGCCGCTCACCGGGGTAGCATCCGCATAGACGTAAATAGAAATTAGTATAAAATGTTCAGTTTTATTGAAAAAGTCAATAAGAAAAAGGAAGGAATTATAGTATAAGGAAAACCCTAACAGATCCAAATTTGTTTTTTACCCAAACCAATTCATTAAGCCAAGCTAAACCAAATAGAACATATATTCCACTACTAGGATTGCATAAAATTAAAGACCACAAAAATCAGTCGCAATACATATCTCAGCCAAAATTTTCCAATCAGCTCAAGATTTTAATACACTTAAATGTTGCGAATCTTTTACTTAAAAATAAAAATTATAATATATTTTTCAATCGGGCAGTAACAAATTCGAAGCTTATAATAAAGCTTACCAACAGGAGAACCCGATATAACGCTACAAAGTGAATCCCTGGCGATCTTAATATTCAAAAACGATCTCAGTATATGTATCTTTGTATCACAATCCTCGTCTTTGTCGCATTCTCTATAGCAAATCTCATCTTCCCTCATTTCCCGACAATCTCCCAATAGCCCTAGATAAACAGATACCCAATTTAGATTCCATGCTTAAATCAAAAGCAAAATAATAAACTCAACAAGAAATTAATAAGCCGAACAAGAAAGGAATGGTTAAAGAAGAAACCCCAAAAATCCTCATGGAGGAGAAACCTAGATCTGAGCTATATCTTATGACCTACCTCTTCTTGATGGTCAGCGACCTCCATAGGCGTGAGAGTGTTTTAGCCTACTTTGATGTGTTTGAAGCTATATGCATTTTGAGATGTGTTCTTCAAATACGTTCTTCATCTGTGATTGAAGCTACAAAGAAGTTTTTGAAGCGATGCATTATTTTGAAACTATGCGTTATTTTGTTTTGAAGCTAGTTGGGTTTAAGAAAAAAAGTGGGCCTAAAGATATTAATATTATTATTATTAAAAATAACAATAGAACAATTCTGGGCGGGACTATCAAAATTAGAAGGTAAAATAAGGAGGGAACTAATAACCGTTCCAATTGGCATTTTTACCAAAAACCCGTTGCCACAATTTATTCTATTGCAACGGTTACAAAAATCGTTACATAAAGTACCCATATTATCTGAAACCTTGACTTATGATAATCTCATAGCAGGTTATCAAGCATATGTCACACCTCCTTTTTCCCCGAAGAGGATATGGGATAAGGGAGTTTTTCCAAATTAAGTGACATTAATCGAAATGGTATTTATTTATTTCAGAGTCGCCACTTGGAATAATTTATGGTGTCCCAAGTCACCGGTTTATTTTAAAATTCCAAATCGAGGAAATTTGACTCTATTTATGGTCCGCGAACACAGAAGACCGGGTAAGAAATTCTGTTAACCTGGGAGAAGGTATGAGGCACTCCCGAGTTCCGTGGTTTTAGCACGGTCGCTTAATAATTAATACTTGGCCTAATTATCTGATTTATTACATGTTTAAAAACCTATTGTGCATTTTTAACTTTTAAAACCACTTTTAGTATTTATGAAATTATTTATGGAATAAGTCACGATGTCGTACACTTGTCGTTGTGGTACACATTGCAAACCGCGCCACATGAAATGTACCCACGATTTACGATATGTTTATTTTTATTAATATTTGAAGTTATAGTCGAGTCACGTGAAACGCACACTCGAATTGGGATTTGCGTATCATGACTATGCCACGGGAACCGTACCCATAGTCACGATAATTTATTTATGCGCCTAAAGCAATCTACAATTATAAACAAAGAGGATGGCCTTGAAAGATTATAATTACATTTTAATACCATGTGAAGCCGGCAAGAAATGACAACTTAAAGATATCACCTGAATTTTTCTCAAACACATATAACCCATTTGCCGTTATTGACAAAGTAGGGCCCAAACCATATGCAAAAAGGAAAAAGATTGAAAGAAAACGCACAAATACCCACGCTCTAAACCATGTGAATTCTCATATCCAATTTATGAAAAAAAAAATTCAATATACTACTTATCATTCCCTTTGGCAGTGAGAAAATAATTTTGGCAATATTAGGAACCAAATTAAATTTCAATAGAGATAAAAAAAAAAAAACTACGAAGGAAAATGGTCAGAACTAGATGAATCAAGATATCCTTGACCAAAGTTTCACCTAAAGAAAATCTTGAAATTTCTTATAAATTAAAACTCATGTGAAAAACAGATTTTATAACTTTGTATAATACTCCAAATTTCTAATGACTTCATCAAGAACTTTAATCCGGAAGAACTAAAAGATAATGGGCCAATATCATGCTTAATATCACATAACAACACATGGAGTTAAACTTGAAATAATAGAGGGATAAGAGTAGGAACCTCTGGTGCGAGTCTTCTTTATTAAACAAGAGAAATAATCCAACAGTTACAAATGAATCTGATGCCGCTAACTCGACCTAGAATACTCCAAATCAGCGACAGAAACCGCGAACATCCGACGGAACCAACGAACCTGCGACCTCATATAGGAACTCGACTACCAGATTTTTCGAAAAAAAAAAAAAACTTGGATCTCTCAACCAAATCGCATTTTTGTTGCTCAGCCTCGAATTTATTTCAAACTTTGAGAACGACCTTGGAGGCCCTTTGCTCTATGGTGTTAATAGTGAGAAAATCAGTGGAATCCTCTGTTCTAAAGTGTTGTTTCTCACTGCCTATTCATCCCCTCTCTGTATTTTTCTGTCTCTGTTTCGCCCCCTCCCCCTTCTCTCTATTTTCAGATCGATCTTTTGTGTGTTGGATGAGTAGAAAATATATAGGTCTAGGTATAGGGATTAATTGGTGGCCAAGAAAAAGAGTGTGTATGGGCGTGTGCAGTTTTTGAGAGAGCATGTGAGTTTGTTACAAAAGATAAGGAAGAATCTTGCCACATGAAAATGACTCATTGACTCTTACTTTAATTAATATTTTTTTAAGAGTGTAAAATAAAAATACTAGCTAAATATTTTAAAATCAAGAACATATAATTTTTGTAATTTTTAATTTTCTTAAATAAAACCTACTAAAAATGAAGTTCAGGTTAAAATATGTAGATTAAACTTAAAATTATTTACATACTAAAAAGTGTTAAAAAATTACAAGTATGGTAAAAAATTATGTGCTCACAGCTGCCCCTCTTTGCTTGTGAACATGAAGAATTTTCAGGCAAAGACAAAAGTGAGCCGTGTGACTAATTTTTTACCAAATCTTTATTCAAAAGGAAAAATAAACAAAGGAAAGGGTGCAACCGAGTCCTTGTTCTGGACAACCTACATATCCTGGGTCATAAGAAAATCAGATTGCGTGTAGTTCAAGGGGAGTGATGGAATGATGGGTTGAGGAGTCAAGTGAGATTTCGTCGAGGCTCCGGTCCGTGGTCCTGTTATTACATAAAAATCAAAATCTAAAGGAACTAAACAACCCTATCAGCTATGAGTTACAAGATTCCTATCTAGAAGTCTTCTGAAGCTTGATCTTGAGTCTTGAATGGTTATTCATGCAGACTTTTGATTTGAACCTTGATGCTTCCTAGCTGCAGGTGCTAGTTCATTTTTCTATGATTTCTTCGGATCAAGCCGCGACATGCAAAGCTTGTGATTTCAGTCATATCTTGAGCAGTTCACATCTTTCAACTGCTTCTGCATTTTGGATTCACTTCTTTTTTTTTTTCTTTTATTCTGGATTGAGACTTCTTCTTTAGGTCATCTCGGACTGTCGACTTGCATTCTTTAGACGATCTTCTGTACTTCTAACTTTAATTGAAATTTGAGATAACTTCCCTCGTTCTTCAGGTTGGCGCCTGCAACTGACTTGAAATTTGAAATAAATTTCCTTGTTCTCCAGGTGGGCGCCTGCTAATGACTTGAAAATTGAAACAAATTCCCTCATTCTCCAGGTAGGTGCTTGATGCTGACTTAAAACTTAAAATAAATTCCCTCGTTCTCCAGGTGGGCGCCTGATACCTTAAAACTTGAAATAAATTCCCTCATTTTCCAGGTGGGCGCCTGATGACTTAAAACTTGAAATAAATTTCCTCGTTCTCCAGGTGGGCACCTGATGACTTAAAACTTGAAATGGATTCCCTCATTCTCCAAGTGGGCGCCTGATGACTTAAAACTTGAAATAAATTCTCTCGTTCTCCAGGTGGGCGCCTGATGACTTAAACTTAAAATGAATTCCCTCATTCTCCAGGTGGGCGCCTGACGACTTAAAACTTGAAATAAATTCCCTCATTCTCCAGGTGGGCGCCTGCTAACTTAAAAACTTGAAATGAATTCCCTCATTTTCCAGGTGGGTGCCTGATGTTGACTTAACACTTGAAATAAATTCCCTCGTTCTCCATATGGGTGTCTGATGACTTAAAACTTGAAATAAATTCCCTCATTCTCCAGGTGGGTGCCTGCTGACTTTAAAAACTTGAAATGAATTCCCTCGTTTTCCAGGTGGGTGCCTGCTAGCTTAAGACTTGAAATATATTCCCTCGTTCTCCAGGTGGGCGCCTTCTATCACAACAACACAGACAAAACAGAGAAAATTTTCTGCCCCAGTTTGTACCAGGAACATTCATTGATTGTTAGTTGCATCCCATTATCCATGAGGGTCCTGAAAACTTAAAACTAGATCCCATTATCCATGAGGGTCCTGAAAACTTAAAACTAGATCCCATTATCCAGGAGGGTCCTGAAAACTTAAGACTGAACTTATCTGGAACATGCTTTCCTCATGGGGATTTCCTGGCAAAGAGAAAAAGATTTCTTGCCCCTGCTTAAAACAAAGAGAATTTTGTCAGTTTGAAAATGTGGCGGTTAATTTATGGCATCCTTGCTGAAAGTGTCTGCTTCTGCCACTATCCCGCTTCATTCTGATTAGATGCTTCGGGCTACAAAGAATTTTTTGACCTTTCAATCGGACCTCGACCACAAAACCTCTGAATGACTTGCATCCCTTACACTCAACTCGTCGTATGGCCCTTTCATTCTAACAACTGTTGAACCTTTGCATTTCCTACAAATTCACGAATCACTTGACCACATAAACTTCAGTTATCACCGCATTGCTCATTCTAAATCATGTCCCTTGTGATGTGCCTGGCCAAATTTCGCTTGGTGCAAATAAAAAGCTAGTAATGAGCTTTGAAATCCTTTCTTGCTTGCTTAACAAAAGACTAATTTGACAGAGACTTAGAAAAATAGACCCAAAAGAAATGAAGCGAAGTGACTTCGAGAATTAGGAATAAAAAAGAAAAAACAGAGATGACTATTTGAAGAAAAATGGAAAAGAGAATTATCTGAATGAAACAACTGGCTCCAATGATCATGACATGCATTTCGGATTGATCAGCATAATCCATCCAACTAATCACATTTCAGTTCATGCCATGTCTTCATACTTCAAAACCGGGTTTTCCATAATTCAATTTCTCTGTAGAGTCATGAACCTCATTCGGCTTGTAATACCCCGAGGGGTTTTCACCAGCAAACATCTCTTATTTGCTGCTCTCTCAACTCATTGTCGCCTTACAATGCCCGTAAGGGTTTTCACTAATAAGACTCCCTCATTTGAATTTTCTCTCGACTCATCATCGCCCTATGGTGCCCGTGAGGGTTTTCACCAATAAGACTCTCTCATTTGAATTTTCTCTTGACTCACCATCGCCCTATGGTGCCCGTGAAGGTTTTCACCAATAAGACTCTCTCATTTATTCACTTTTCCTTGTGCCCATGAACAAAGGTGCTACCCATGATGTAAATAATACCTCCATATCACTTGACTTGGCATCCTCAAAGTTGATCAGAAGGTCTTTCTTTGGACTATAGTGTAGGTTTTGGACAGGGTTAGAAAGAAAGGATGGCATGCAGGCTCAAAA